CTGGGCCGGGGCAGGAGCGCGGGTGGCGAGTGGCGGCGGCGGAGCGGCGACGCGGGGTGGAAGTGGTGGGGCGGGAGAGGCAGCCGGCGGCGGGAGAGGAGGCGACTCGTTGACCGACATGCGTGCGGTGTTGGAGACGAGGGCGTCGAGATCAAAGTCATCGTCGTCATCAGATTCGTCGTCGAGGTAGTCGACGCCAGCAGTGGCGTGATCCGACGAGTAGCTCGGGGACGGGGCGGACGCCGACGCCGCCGAATACTTTGTAGACGAGGGGCAGAACTTGAGGGTTATGAGCTCGGTCACAAACTGGGCTACAAAACCGGTGTTGCGGACCTCTGTGCCGAGATCAGTGGTGCGGAGAATGTTGGGCCCGATAACAAGAGCAATGTTGGACGGAGTCATGAGATTGTCGTCCGAGTGCTGCGAGACTTTGCGGAAGAAGGAGAGAAGATACTTGAGGGTGGTGCGGGCGAGCGGGTCGAGCGACTGCATGAGCTCGCGGACGGCGTCGCGCTTGGCGTCCGGGTCGTTGACAGTCCGCTGCATGTCGATACAGACCGGGTAGAGCTCGTACGGGATGAGCGGGGTAGGCAGCTCGCGGAGGTAGTCCTTGAGCGTCTTGGCCATGGTATGCTCGTCGCGGATCGAGTCGAGGTTGACCATGCCGTTGGTCTCATACGCCTTGCGGATGACCTTGGCCTCTGCAAAGTCACCAGCCTTGCGGAAGAGGCCCGGGAGCTTGATGCACGACTCGCGCGAGAGGAACTGTACCGTCTGCTTGATAATCGGCGGCACGTTGTCCTTGTAGCCCTTGGACCGCGCCCACGCCATGTGGTCCTTCATCTCCACCCCAAAGGTGCAACCCCTAGTTGCCGCCACCGCCCCTGCAGCCTTGCCACCTCCGGACGATGACCGGCCCTACACACTCCACATGAGGGGGGAGGGGAGGAAGGGGAGGGTGAGGGTGTGTGGAGAGGGAGGAAGGAGGGGAAGGGGGAGGAGGGGGGGGGCCGTGCGTACCTTCTTCGACTTGCGCCCAAACACCATTTCGGGCGTGGCCGGCGACGCGTGTTACCGCCAACGAATCGAACGTTGGAACAAGAGGGGGTGGAGGGGGCGGGGGGGGGGGGGGTGATGAGAATTGAGGGGTGATGTAGATGGGAAAAAGATGGGGAATGGGGATGGGGGAAGGAGAGTGGGTCTTGGTGTGTATGTGTCTACGTCTGTACGTGGTGGGAGTGAGGGGAGGTTATGAATGAGGGTGGATGGGGAGCTGTGACTCGGTGGCCACGTGGTCTTGTCGTGGCCCAGCAGGGGCGGCGGGGCGGGTGGTGTGGGCAGGGCAGGGCGGGGCGGAGCCGGCGGCATTGGCCGGACGATCGCAATGTGAGTGGCGAGAGTGACCGGGGACAGGATGGAGGGGAGAAGGTGGAGGAGGCAGATGCAGTGGGCGGCACACCCAACTCGAGTGCGGCAGACTAGAGCAAGCGAGTAGGAGGATGGCCATTGCACCGCGGGCGTCGCTGGTGCAGCTGGCGCGGCTGACGCTGCGGTTTTGTGGAGCGTCGGGCTCGTCATCACAAGCTCGGTACGCGGCGTGGAGGAGGGGCGGGTCGGGGCGCGGTAGCGGGGCGGGGCGGGCCAGGGAGGGACACGGCAGGGAGCGAGGACTTATAGAGCACTTGGCGGACAGGGTGTATGTGGAGAAGAACAAGCTGGAGGAGTTGGCGGCCAAGTACGACGCGGCGTTTGTGGCGGCGGCGGCCGAGGCGCCGGGCAAGCACCCGCACGCCGAGGCCGAGTACGCCAACGGGACGACGCAAGTCGTGCCGCTGCGCAAGCTGAGCGTGGAGCAGATTGATGCGCAGCTCGATGCGCTCGCGCAGCGCCGTGGGCGCAAGATGAGCAGCGTGACCAAGATCAACCGGGTGGTGGGCAACGTGAGCCAAGGCGTGCCCGATGCCAAGGCGCTGCCTGTGGGCGTGGCGCAGCGGACCCAGGGCTCGGTCCAGGGTGTGTGGGGTGGCCTGGGAAAGGTGCGTCCACTGCGGGCGTCGAAGGAGGGCCGCACTCCGCGGAAGAGCCCGACTCTCTCGCGCAAGCACATCGTCGCCGCTCGCGACATGGCCGCCGAGTCCAAGCCGTAAAAGCACTTTGCAAGCTGCAGGCCATAGCGGGCGACTTCAATCATTCAAACTCGACAGTGAGCACCGCAAGGACGTAGTCCTGGAGGATGTGGGTGGAGATGGTGATGGCTGCGATGAGAAACTCAGGCGAGGTGAGGACCATCGAGCCAAGCTTGTGGCTCGTCGCCCTGAGGGCGGCTGAGTGCCAGGCGCGGACAATGTAGACCGAGAGCCGCGAGCAGGCGAGAGTGATGGCAACGTAGGCGGCAAAGCGTGGGAGCGACGAGGTGTGACTGACGCCGTCGGCCTCGGTGTACGGGAACACGCCCCGGTTGTGCGAGTTGTGGAGGACTACCGCGAGGATGCAGAAGCCGACGATGGTCATGGTGTCGACGATGACCTCGAAGAAATAGTCGATGGCCGACTGCTGGACAAAAACCCTGTAGCTGACCGGCTCGGGCACGAGGGTGGCAAACATGCCGAGCCGCCTCCGTAACGCCACACAGGTCCGGGTGTAGACGACAAAGAAGACGGCTGTCGTGCCGAACACGTAGATCAGCATGTCGAGTCCAAAGGCTGCGATGTTGATCACCACAATGACCGTGTACGAGTCGATCTCCAGGAACAGATTGCGCTGAAAGACGAGCCGGAAGAGATCCATGGTGAAGAGACAGAGCGGGCGGATGTCGACCTCGTGGTAGGCGTCAAACTGCGAGGTGACTCGCTTCATCACAATCTTGAGGACAAGGAGCGGGAGCGTAAAGACGACAACTGCCAGAGTCTGCTCGACTTGACCCAGCTTGCGGAGCGATGACATCTGGAGAAACTTGGCGGCATAGAGCTGGCAAAAGACGAACGATACAAGGATAACGGCGAGGACGGCAATGAGCCACATACCGGTGTGAAAGATCGAGTGGCGGACCCGCGATAGCCGTTGGCGTGACGCCGGATGCGCGTGCGGCCCGTTGCTCCCCTCACAGTCGGAGCTGGTGTGCGTCTGCGTCACGTCCTTGTGCTCTTCATCGAGCGACGAGATTGTCGAGAAGCCCATCGACGCGCACGACCGAGTCTCAACATCTGACGTCTCGCTGCTATTGAACTCAAGCCCACGCGCAGGATTGCTGCCTCTGGATGCAAGCGAGGTCATGGTCATTCCCGTGGTGTGCAACTGAGGCTGCGGCGGCGAGGGCGGCGGTCGCGCCGGCCGGCTCGAGGTAAAGATCGGCTCGTTGAAGATGCCCGGTGAGGGCGCAATCGGCGAGCAGAAGGAGTCATCGTCAAAGTCCGGCATGGCCATGACGGAGTCGCTGGGGTGGGGCGATCGACGAGTCCGGCTGTGGGCGACCTGTACTTGTAACTGCGGTGAGCTTGGCTCGTTCGAGCGGGGCGCGTCTGGCCGCTCAAGCTCGGTCGATCGCTGCTGCGAGAGCCGCCGCGTCCAGGCGCGAAACGGCATCGAGAGCAGCGATACAGCAGATACCAGCTCGTCTCCATTATCAGAGGTTGACGAGCTGAGCGAGTCGGAACGGAGGTTGTCGAGCGAGGCGCTGCCGTCGAAGACAGGAAGGACCGAGTTCGACGCCTCGAGGTGCGCAAACGACGGCGAGAGCTGCTTCCGAAAGTAAAAGGCCTGCGATGGAACCACTTGGAGCGCGAACGAACCTCGGCCCGCCAGAAGGAGACTAGATCAGGCTCGTTGGTCAGCTTCCAAGCTTCGTACATGAGAAAGCCTAGCGCGGGAGAAAAGGTAGCGAGCACGACGAGCGGAAACACCATCCGCCGAGACCACCAATCAAAGTACAGCACAATGCTGCGAAAGATCACGTCGAGCACAACAGTAATGCAAGTCCACAAGACAAGCTTACGTGAGCTCGGCAGCGGGAGGACAAGGCCGTAAAAGGCGAAGCCAACGCCCGTCGCAATGATGTTGTAAGGCATCATGACGACGGTGAGATACAACCAAACGTTGGTTTTGCGCGATTGTGTCGGCTTGTGGTCAAACCTGGTCTCGGTCGTCATTGGCATCATCAGCCAGACGACAACCACCGCAAGCGGCATCCATTGGACCGCCATATATCGCCATTGGTCGCGCCACGAGCCCGGCCATACCTGCTTCCATGACCATGGCGAGATGCGAGTGTCTGCAGTTTCCCGCGTCGGTTGCGTGACCCCGGTGCAAGTGCGGGGCTGGTTGATTGCCGGCGAGTTCATAGCAAACAGCGAGAGGTACTTGACAAACGCCAATCTGACGAACCAATTTGATGAGATTGTGCCGAGTCGCCTTTTTTCTCCGCTCGCCGCTCGCCGCTCGCCTCTCACCACTCACCACTTTCGCCCGTTCGCCCGTTTGGGCGAACTGGATTTGTTTCCGGCCAGAGCCAGAGGTGGGCCCGATCTCGCTCGCTGGCGTGGGTGTGGGCGCATACTCAACTTGACCTCAACATGTACGCAAGCAGCGAGGGGAAGACCTTTGGGTCAATGACCTCCAAGAGAGGGGGACAGAAGAGGAGGGTAGAGGGCATTTGCGGCTGTCGGAAAAGATGTGTAGCGCTTGGGTGTGGGCGTCAAGACCACGCCTGTGTCCTGCCGATGGGGGGGAGAAGGGGGCGCGTTTTTCGTGCCTCCCGCGGAGGTTTCTGCAACGCCTCCCCAAGGTGGTTGCGGAGCGGGGAAAGGGAGGCACGAGTAGGCGAGGGGTAGACAGAATGCATACCTATGCACAGCACACACGTTTGTGCCAACCCTGGGTGGTGGAAAGGATGTGACGCGGTGGGGCAAGGGGGAGGGGCATGCCCCCCCCCCCCCCCCTCCCCCCCCTGGTCGGCGGTGGCCAAGCCCCCGTTTGGGCAATGAATGGCATTTCCCCTGAATGGGCGGAGGGCTGGTGTCGGCGAGTGGGTGTGGTGCGGAGCAGAGCGGAGAGAGCGGAGAGACTCACCGGAACGAGACGGCGGCTTTGCGAGGACAGGCAGGCTATCAAGTGCGTGGTTGTTGGTGATGGCGCTGTCGGTAAGACGTGCCTGCTGATTTCGTACACGACCAACGCCTTCCCTGGCGAGTAGTACGTTGCCTGAGTGTGTTTGTGTGTGTGACTGTGTGTGACTGTGTGTGACTCTGTGTGGGCGCGGAGGAGCTGTTGTGGTGGGTGCGTCACTCATGTGGAGAGGGTGCGGCGTGACATGGACAGCATCCCGACGGTGTTCGACAACTACTCGGCCAACGTGATGGTCGACGGCAAGCCGATCAACCTCGGCCTGTGGGATACCGCCGGTCAGGAGGATTACGACCGCCTGCGCCCGCTGTCGTACCCGCAGACGGACGTCTTCCTCATCTGCTTCTCGCTCATCTCGCCGGCTTCGTTCGAGAACGTCCGCGCCAAGTGGTACCCGGAGATCTCGCACCACTGCCCGTCGGCGCCGGTCATCCTTGTCGGCACCAAGGTCGATCTGCGTGAGGACAAGGAGACGCTCGAGCGCCTCCGCGAGAAGCAGCTCTCGCCCATCACCTACCAGCAGGGTCTGCAGATGGCCAAGGAGATCTCGGCCGTCAAGTACCTCGAGTGCTCGGCCCTCACCCAGAAGGGCCTCAAGAACGTCTTTGACGAGGCCATCCGCGCTGTCCTCTCGCCGGCTGCGCCCAAGAAGGCCAAGAAGAAGTGCACCCTTCTCTAATCTTCCGCACTTCCTGCATAAACTCCCTCCCCCCATTTCGCACCTCTGCCCACACCGCCTGTGCTGCACTCGTCCACACAACTAGTTGCAAAAGGTCGGTTGCCCAGGCCGAGTGCTTGCCACGCGGGCACGTGACGCACTTTTTGGCCCGCCATGTCGAGTACGTTGCAGCCCCTCCCAGCCCCTCCTCGCCCATGCTGAGCACCCAAACATGGTCGGAGTGGATGTGTAGCACTATTGTACATGCCTCTCCCTCTTCTCCTCACCCCTGTCTCCTTCCTAGCAGCTGCTGTCACCGCTACCGGCGACGGCGCGCCCTGGCTGGCCATCGACCGCCCCTTCCCTCCCCCTCCTCACCCTCACCCTCACCCTCACCCTCACCCACGGTACTTCGCGTAGAACCCATGTCGGAGCAAGAGGAGCAGCTGGAGGCGTATCAGAAGATCGAGTCGCTGCTGCTTGCGGCGGGATTCTTCCGGGTCCGCATCGCGGCGCTGTCCAAGTTTGACAAGGTTGTGGGCGGGCTGGCATGGGCGATTGCTAACTGCGGCACGTCGGCCGACGTCAACGACGTGGTGTTTGTGGAGAACTCGTCGCTGCGGCAAAAGGTGCGGATTGCAGACACCATTCTGCGGGCGCTGCAAAAGATGAAGTGCCCATTCCCACTCGCTTCGCAGCACATCCAGGGATCCAACTTTATCGAGCTCTTCAAGCCGATCCAGTGGCTCGTCAAAAAGGTGCTGGAGAACCGGTCCGAGACCGGCGACTACATGCGGCGCTTTGCCGAGTCGCAGTTTGACAAGTTCAACGCGCTGCCCGAAGACGTGCTCCGTGAGCGCTCGCTCAAGCCCGCCTCCGAGTACGCCAAGCACGTGGTGGAGCGGTACAAGCCGAAGCGCGGGTATCGGCCGACGATCTCGCTCCGCGAGCGGCCCGAGGATGAGCAGGCGACCTCGGTCCTCCTTGAGTTTGGCCACCGGTACCGGCTCTCCAAGGCCTCGTCGGGTTCGGCCGAGGAGCAGGAGCGGCTGGCGCGGATGGCGGCCGAGGAGGCCGAGCGGCTGAACGAGATGATGTCGTCGCTAGCCCAGGTCTCGGGCAAGGGCATCGCGTCGTCGATCATGGGCTCTATGTTTGGCGACACGTCAGACATGGAGGCTGTCGACGACTCGGCCGAGCGCCTGGCCGAGCTCAAGCGGAAGCAGGCCGAGAGCCGCGAGGCCGCGTTTGTCAACAAGCGCGCCGCACTCATGCAGCGCATTGCCGCGCTGAAGGCCGAGGCCGAGGCTGCCGCCGCCGAGCTCGCCGCTGCCGAGGAACGCAACGCCGAGGGTGCCACCCGCCTGCAGGCCAAGGTCGAGTACAACGCCAACGTTGTGGCCGAGACGCAGAAGCTTCTCGACCTCGAGACGCCCGAGAACGCTCACATTGTGGCCCAACTGCGCAAGCTCTACTCGCTCGTCGACAACCTCGAGCTGCAGCACACGTTTTTCCGCTCCTCCTGCGCCGCACAAAAGGCCGAGCTCGAGGCAACCATCGCCCGGATCAAGGCCGAGGGCCCCAACTCGGCCGTCGCCCAGCGGCTGGCCCAGCTACAGTCTGCCGAGGCTGCCGAGCAGCACAAGCTCGACCGCCTCCGCGCAGCGTACGCCAAAAAGATCCGCGACATTGCCCTCGTCGAGCGCAAGATCGACGAGCTCCCATCTCGGGCCGAGCTCAACCAGTACCAGCGGCGGTTTGTCGAGCTCTACGAGCTCGTCGCTTCCAAGCACATCGAGACCAAGCGGTTCTACGCTACGTTCAACACCCTCACCTCGGTCCATGAGTACCTTGACAAGGAGGTCGAGTACGTCGAGTCCATCGCAGAATCGTACCGCGCCGTGTTCAAGGTCAAGAAGCCAAAGTCCAAGGCCAAGGCTCAGTTTGTGGCCCACGTCGAGGAGCTCGCAAACTCGCTCGGCTCAATCCTTGAGCGCGCCAAGGACCAAGCTGCCAACGAGAAGGCCAACCGCGACGGCCTCAATGCGCTTTATCTCAAGCAGGTCGACATCGAGCGCAAGTACTTCCAGGCCGTCAAGGCGTTTGAGAAGGAGTGCGGCAAGAACGAGCTGCTCATGACCCAGTTGGTGGCCGAGGCTGAGGCCTGACCACCGTCGGCAGTTGCCGTAAAACAAGCAGAGGGCGAGAGCCGAGTCGCAGTCACAACCCAGCTAGCCACACAGCCACTGCAGGCGCTAGCACGCTCGGCGCCGCCCCAGCGTCTGTCAGCAGCGGAGCGCTGGCGAGGTCGTCGAGTCCGGCGCGGGCGGTCGGATCCTGGACGAGGGCGAGGGCGACAAAGTCAGCAAGCGCAGCCGGGTAGTCGTGAGGCAGGACCGCAGGGTCGAGTGCCGGCGGAGGCGAGTGGATGATGGCCGTGTTGAGGGCAAACATCGAGAGCTGGGCGCGCTCACCGCCACGGCAGCTCTGGACAAGCGGGTGGTAGCCGAGCGCGAGCTCGACCAGCGTCATGCCGAGCGACCAGACGTCAGCCTTGACAGTGTATGGATCGCCGGCGCCCGAGAGCGTTTCGGGCGCGGCATAGAGGGTGTTGCCGGCCACCGTCAGCGCGCGGCTCCGCCGAAGCTCACCCGACTCGCCAAAATCGGCCAGCTTGAGCTTGCCGGCAGAGTTGACCAGAATGTTGTCCGGCTTGATGTCGCGGTGCATGAGTGATGCGGCCTTGAGAAAGATCATTGCCCTCGTCACGCATCCAGCCGCTGCCACCAGCACCGCGCCCGGTAGCGGCGTGTCGCCCACCCGCGCCGCCAGGCTCGCCAGATCGCCGCCGTCCATGTACTCCATGCAGATAAACAGGTGATGATCTGCGAAAAACGCGCCGCGAAACCGCACTACGTCCGGGCATGCCCGCGCCTTGTACAGGCTCCGCAGCTCTTTGACGTGCCTCCGCCGTGATGCCGCCAGCGATGCCCCGGTCTCCACCGCCACTTCCTTCACCGCCAGCTGACTCCCGTCCACGCTATTGCTGCAATTCCACACCACCCCAAACGATCCGCCGCCAAGCCGCTCGCCAAACTCAAGCTCGTACTGCGCCACCCCGTCCATGCACACCTCATCGGCGTCGAGCAACGTCTGCATCTGCGGCCCGCCGGCCGCCACCGACGCCTGCGACGTCATCACCACCCGGTACTGCGCCGAGATAGGAACCACCACCCCGGCTGCGTTGCCCAGCGCCTTGCCCTCCTCATCCAGCAGCGTCCCGGACTTGGAGATCTCATCCCGCCGCTTGCCGAGCTCAATGGTGAGTCCACCTACCGCCGCCTGTCCTGCAGCAGCCCGACCTGCAGCTTTAGGGCCCTTGACATCGATCTTGAGCCCAGGTGCAGCAGCAGCAGCAGCAGCAGCAGCAGTAGACGATGATGGCGGCGGCGGCGATGGACTGAGATCAGCCTGAGTCTGCACCGCCTCGATCCTCACCCGACGCACTTGGCCAGCCTTCTTCCCCCTCTGCAGCCAACCTCCGTCCCTTGGCTGCTACCCGCCATCGCACCTGTCGGATCTACGCCTCTGGCAGACGCCTTGGACGAGTCGGCCATGACCGCCCGAGAAGACGTGGGGGAGGACTTGTGGTGTACCACCGACGTCAACCGTGGTTATGCAAGAGGTCGTGGGTGTGGGTGGCAGGGAATGGCGTCAATGTGGGAGAATGTGAAAGGGAGGGGAGTGTGGCGTGTGACGGCGATGCGTCGAGGGCGAGGTTGAGGGCGTAGGGCCAGGGCTGAGGCGGGCGCAGCCAGCGGTGGCCGGCGGCAGGAGCAGCAAAGGGCCGGCGGTCGTACCGAGTCACCGACCGAATGACCGGAGAGCCACCCGCACCACCACCATGGCCACCGCTGACACCACCTTCCTCACCACCGCCACCACCCCACCACCACCACCACCACCAACAAGAGAAGGGCTGTAGTGATTGCGCGTGAGTGGACCACCGCCAACGTCACTGTCTCTAGACCGTCTCCAATCCCTCCCCCCCCCCCCCCTCCTTCCCGTCTCCCCCCCCCCCCCCCCCTCCCGCACCCGTCACCAATCACCACACATGGCAGATGCACAGGAGAGCACCGCCTTCCGTGGCTGGCTGCTGAAGCGTGGAGGTCTTCGCAAGTCATGGAAGCGGCGGTGGTTTGTACTGGAGAACAAGAGACTCTCGTACTTCAAGAGTCAGGATGAGGATAAGGCTGCCCTTGGTACCATCGATCTCGCCGTCTACACCTGTGTCGACTTTGTGCCACTCGAGGTTCATGGCAAGGCCAACGAGTTTAAGATCGAAGGCCCCGATCTGCGCACCTACTTTTTCATGGCACCGAGTGCTCTGGTACGTATGGAGGGATGTGGGCGCAGTATCGTGGTGTTGGGCGTTTTGCAGGTGGCGCGGGCACAGGACGACTCACAGCAAACCAGCTCCAAAGTGAGTGGTGCGTGGCCATCGCCGGCAAAGGTGTCGGTGCCTCCGCGGTGGTGCAGAAAAAGGTGGATGCGGCGGCAAAGGTTCATGTCGTACTCGAGCCGAACGGCTTGCCCAACGGGTACGACGTGTTCATGTCCAAGGATCCCATGCCAGCCGAGGCCGTCCCGCCCATCGCCAAAGACTCGTTGTTCCGGTATCGGGCCATGGTGCGGCACGAGAGTAAGGCTAAGACGACCAAGGTCATGTTTGTGCTCACTTCGGAGGGCTTTTCAATTGTCGAGGGCGAGACCGAGACGCTGTACAAGATCAAGGCAATTGTCAAGTACCTGTTCAAGCCGGAGAAGCGGCTCTTCCGCTTTGTCACCAAGCACAATGACGAGAGCATCCAGACTATTTGCTTCTTCTCCTCCGGCGCACTCGTCGAGCACCTGGAAACCACTATTGCGGCAATGATCCAGGCCTTGCTCGCCGACACCGGCATTCTCTCCACCGTCCTCTTTGACTTTGAGTCGGAGGATGAGGACGAGCTCAACGTCAAGCGCGGCGACCGCATCGCCGTCCTCGAGGTATTTGACGATGGCTGGCTCCTCGGCTCGCTTGGCGACGGCACAACCGGCATGATCCCAGTCTCGCATGTGTACTCGGATGCCAAGGTCATCCAGAACGCCCGCAGAAAGGCCGAGCGCAAGCTGAAGCGGATGACCGCCGCGTCGTAGTTCTGGTCACGTCTCGACCGAGACAGCAAAGAAGCCTGCAACAACAAGGCACGCTCCGAGGATGTAGACAAAGGTAAAGTGCGCGTCAGAGGTGAACAGCGCCTGGGTCACCATCGCCAACGGAATGGTAAGCGAGAGCCCGATAGTGGCCACCAGCGGCGTCGTGAGCATGACCGCGTACAGCCAGAGCAGGTCGGAGAGCACCGTGCCGAGCAGGCCGTTGAGGAGAAGAAAGCCCCAAACCGGCGGGCTCGGCCATGCAAACATCTCCAGCCCCGTCACCGAGAGCAATACGCCCAGCGGCCAGGCGAGGAGAAGGACAAAGACGCCGACGAGGCCAAAGAGCATCGGCATCGACACGCGCGACTCATGCCGCACCGCCCGCTTGAGGTAAACCACATACGCGCCGTAGCCGGCGGCCGAGCCCAGCGAGAGCGCATCGCCCCACAGTGAGTCGCGCTGCCCGCTGTCGCTCTCGCCCGAGTCCGCCAGCGCCACGCAGGTCACGCCGCCGACCACAAGCACCACCGCCACGCCCTTGGCCACCGTCGGCCGCTCCACACCCGCCAGCCAGCCGAGGCCAAAGGTAAAAAGCCCGCTCGTCGATGAGATGATTGTGTTTGACGAGACAGTCGTCAGCGTCAGCGCCGCGTTGAACGCGTAGTTGGCCGCAAACCAGAGGGCCGCCACCACGCCGGCAATCTGGACCAGCTCGCGCATCGTGAGCGGAGGCAGCTCAGCGCCGTCTCCCATCGCTCGCGAAACAGTAACCTCTTCCACCACTGCTGCACTGCCGCCGGATCGCCTGGCCTCCGCTCGCCTGCGATCGCGCTGGACAAGCAGCGCGACGGCGTCGGTGTTGGCGTCGGCGCCCGGCGCCCGGCGCTCGCGCCACCCGCTGCGCGCCATCGCCCTCCATGACGGCCGAACAAAGCCAACCATATATACCGAAAACAGCGACGAGGCCAGATACGTGACAAAGAATGGCTTGGAGAACCCGCCACCATCGTAAATGTGCTGCATCAGGTACGACGAGCCGACCCAGAGCGAGACGACCACTCCCAGCAAGAGGCACCCGAGCCCGCGCCGGAGCCACGGCACGCCGCTCACCTCGACCTCCTCGCCAGCCTCCTCCATCTCGTTGTGCTACGCAGGGGGAGAGAGCCACGAGAGGTGATGGTGGTTTGTTGTTGTTTCTGCCTCGAAAGGCGGTCCCTGCCCACCTTCGGATCGGCTCGTGCCAGAGGCCAAGGCCAGCAGCCATGTCCACCAGCCGATTATGGAAGTATGATGGGCAGGCGATGGGGGGTTGGGTTGTCGTAGGGGTTGGAAGTATGTGCTACTGTCAATACTCTGCTACACCCTGATAGCCATGCCATTATCCGTGGCTTTCGTTTTACCCAGCGTGGCTTCCCTCTCCTCTGGGTGCGCCTGTGGTTTGGCTCCGGAATCAGAGTTACCATGGAGGAAGTAGCACCAGCAACCACAAAACGGCCGGAAGTATATGGTCCGAGTTATAGACACTCCTCCTCCGAGCTGCGACATGGCGAAGAAGAGCGAGAGCATGACTGCGTCTGCAAAGCGGTAAGTAGACAGTACAAGAACCCCCCCCCCCCAAGCTCCCCCCCACTCCCTTTTCTACCTCCCAGGAGGGTGCGCATGTCTGTGGTATGGCTCTAGCCAATGTTGCCCCTACCCATGGGGGGGGTCTCGGACGCCGCCCTCTTTTCGGTGTCGCAAAGATGGAGCCCAATGGTACCGCCCTCCCGCATGCGGCACACTTTGTGCAAACAGGTCACCCAGGAGCTCGAGGAGCAAGCCCAAGTACCACAGGCGCGGAAAGGTGGACTTGTAGCCCACCAGGCAGCGTTGTGTGCCTGTGGCAGACCAGGCTTGTGTGGAAGGTCGTGGGCAGAAAAAGGTCGCGCTTTCGGTGGCGACACTCGGTTGGGCGAGCAGGCGACGCGCCGCAGTGGAGACGGGAGGGCAGGCGAGACGACTCACAGTTCCGAGGGCGCGGGCGGGAATGGCGATAGAATCCAGAAAGAGCTGGCGGAGATCTCGCTCGATCCGCCGTGCAACTGTTCGGCGGGCCCAAGGGCGACAACCTCTACGAGTGGGTCTCGACCATCATGGGTCCGGCCGACTCGCCCTACGCCGGCGGCATCTTCTTCCTCGACATCACATTCCCGCAAGAGTACCCGTTCAAGCCTCCGCGCGTCGTCTTTCGCACCCGCATCTACCACTGCAACATCAACGCCCAGGGCGCCATCTGTCTCGACGTGCTCAAGGACAACTGGTCGCCGGCTCTCACCATCTCCAAGGTCCTCCTCTCAGTCTGCTCGCTGCTCACTGACTGCAACCCCAACGACCCGCTTGTCGGCTCGATTGCCCAGCAGTACCTGTCAGACCGCGAGGCTCACGACAAGATTGCCGCCGAGTGGACCCGCCGCTACGCCACCTAATTGCCTCGTCGCCCGCTCGCGTCGTCGCCTGGGCCGGAAGAAGTAGCGAAGAGGGCAAGGGAAACGGTGGCGATGCCCCCCCCCCCCCCCCTCTCCAACATGAACTGACACATGTTGTAGCCCGAGCCCTGCCAGCGACCTATGAACGAGTCGTCGCCGCCGAGTCGTCGCGTAGTCGCCTTCCTCACACTCCACTCAACCACCCCCACGGCCACCCCCACGGCCACCCCATCTCACGACCATGGACCTGTTCTGGGGCAACCCCCTGAGCGAGCCTCCGTCTTCGTCCGAGGCGCCTGCAAGCTCTGCGCCTGCAAGCTCCGCGCCTCCACCCGCCACGTCGTCGGCAGACGCCACACCACGCCCGACTACCGAAGCCGAGGCCCGAGCCGAGCCTGGTGGCGGCTCGTCGTGGTGGGGCCTCATCGATACGATCAAGGGCAAAGTAAGGACCGCACCTCCTGCCCCCCTGCCTTTCTCCCTCTCTCTGCCGCACACGGCACTCACACCCCGCTCGCGCCCGCCTCGTCGTAGTCGACCGAGATCCTCGAGGTCTACAAGCGCGACCTTGGCGAGTTTGTCTCGACCATATCTGAAGATACTCGCGAGTCGCTACATGCAGCGGCGTCTGCTGTCCGCGGCGAGCGCGGTGAGCACGGTGACGCCGATGGCTCGTTGCCGGGCTCACGGCCAGGCTCGGCATCCGGTGACTCGTCTGCCCGCCGCCAAGCTGGTGACGACGTCGGCCTTGCTGCGCTCTCACGCTTTGACGCCGCCCTGCACAAGCTTCAGTGCGATCCGGCGACGTTCTGCCATGATCCGGAGCCCGAAGCAGAGTATCAGGCCTGGCTTGCAGACTTTGACGTCGACAGCAAGACCGCAGACATTGCCGAGCTGCTCAAGGTCTCCGAATCGGTCCGCACCCTCCACACCCGCCTGGTCCCGAGCTCGCTGCCCTACGCCGACTTTTGGGCTCACTACTACTTCAACGTCCACCGTCTTGAGCAGGAACAAGCGCGGCGCGCTAAGCTTGTCGAGCGAGCCCAGGCTTCCGACGACGACGAGCTTGGCGGGTGGGGCACCGACGACGATGACGACGACGACGAGCCTGGCGAGCTGAATGATGGCGAGCTCGGGGCTGCCACCGATCGCGATGGAAGCAGCACTGAGCTGGTTTCTGCCGATGTCACTCCTGTGCCTCAGCCTGCCCCTGTGGCCGAGCCCGTGTCCAAGGCCGAGGCCGAGGCCGAGCCTGCATCCGCGGCCGAGGCCGAGGTCGAGGCTGCATCCGTGGCCGAGGCCAAGCCCGTGGCCGAGGCCGAACCCGTGGCCGAGCCTGTGGCCGAGGCCGAACCCATGGCCGAGCCCGTGGCCGAGGCCGAACCCATGGCCGAGCCCGTGGCCGAGGCCGAACCCATGGCCGAGCCCGTGGCCGAGCCTGCACCTGTTACTGCTACGACTCGTCTGGCGCTCGCCGATGAGACTGGTGACATCGACGACGGCGACGATGATGACGATGGCTGGCTCGACTGGGAGTAGATGGTGACCGGAAGCATGATATGCATCGAACAAACGTGTTATTGAGCCAAGATCGTCATCAGGTCGACGGAGACGGCGAGCGTGAGGTGTGGCCAGAGTCAAACGAGTTGCCGGTGGCAAGCACCAACTCTCCGCCGGTCACACCGAGAGCCACGCCGCTGCCTTGCGAGTCGAGCGACGAGTTGAGCGACGCGTACGCCATGGGCGTCACCGTTTGGGACGCGCGGAGCGACATGACGATCCGAACGGCGGCGGCGGCTACAAGCGCAATAACGGTGAGCGCAACAAGGGCAAGGAAGGCCGGGCCGGCCCCCTCCTTGCTCAGCATGTCGTGGTCAACAGCAGCAGCGAGAGCGGCAAAGAGGAGCGGGATGACAACCGACGCCAGCGCCTCGGCCAGGCTGATGAGCGAGGTGTGCGGTCGAAAGGCAACAAGGAGGCCGCCGTGGACGGCAAGCACCGTGATGGCGACCGCATACCGCAGACTGACGTGGGCGTCGACGACCAGCGCGGCCGCCGCAAGCAAGAACTGCTGGAGGTAGAAGCCGAGGTGGAACCAGCGGAGCCGTGGGGAGCGGTACGCGTTGAACACAAGCGCAAAGCGAGCCGCAAAGTCAGGCGGCGAGTACAACTGCGGCCACCAGGCGTTGAGGACCGAGAGCGTGACAAAGGTGACGACCGGAAGACCGATGCCAAAGTGAACGAGGAGCGCCCAGCCGGTGTAGGCCGCCATGGTGTGGGTTGACTGGTAGCAAAAAACCCGCGGGTCGGCAACAAGCAGGAGCGCATCACCCGACTCGGTCCGCATGCAGTTGAGCGCCTCAAAGCCGAGCCGGACGGCGGGCGTGTAGGCAAGTCGCAGCGCTAGCGCGATGGCCAACACCCGGCGTGCCTTCAGCGCAGACGCACGCTCGCTCCCACACGCCTTGCTAGCAATGAGAGCAACGATGAGCGGCGCGGCAAGCCACACAAAGACAACCACGACGTTGACGCCAAAGATGGTGGCAAAGGTGGCATGGACCGAGAGGCAGAGCGGGCGGATGCCGGCGAGATCGAGGCCGAACAGCGAGACCGCACCGTAGAACTCGAGCGCAGCATTGGGAAGCGCAATCGTATCGCCCAGGCCGACCGCGTACACGCCCTGCAGTGTGGCGAGAGCAAACGAGAGCGAGTGGAGAATGAAGCGCGGGGCCAAGATCATGACAGCGGCGGCGCTAAAGACAAATGCAGCCAGGACGGTGACCAGGAGCGGCGCCAGAGCGCTCGAGCCACATGGCACACACTCGGTCGCTCCGCGCTTAAAGTGATTGTCGGCGCAGGCAAGGCAGAGCTGGCCGGTGTAGCCGGGCGCGCACGCCGAGTTCTCCCGCCAAGACACAGTTCTCGGATAGGGCAGCGGTCGACGTAGTCGGCACCCTCGCCTGAGTTCCAGTACCCAGGCAGTGGCCAGACCCGGTCGCCACCCGGGCACGTCGCCCCTGGAGGGCAAGACGAGCACTCAAGCCGATTGCGGTATGTGCCTGGCGCGACACACGCCCCGCCGACAAATGCCAGCAGCGCTCCGCTGGCATCGCTCGCCACGTCGTCCCACGGTCCGACCACGGCCTCGAGCGCCGCCGGCCCGGGCGCGGTCATAGACGGTAGTGTCACGTTGAACTCGACGACGTTGCCGACTACGGCCACGTCAGAGATGATGCCAGTGACGCCGTTGATGCGGAACGAGGTGACCGGCGTTGGCCAGTTGGCAAGAACGGCGACGCGGAGGGAGATGGGGGTGAAGACCGGGTACGTCGACGGCGTGACCGAGACAATAGCATTCGTCACGCAATCTTCACCGGCACTTCGCCCCGACGACCCACCAGCGCAGCGGTGGCAGACGTCGAGTTGGCCGCCATCGGCACAGCACGTTTCCTTGGTGCAGCACGCCGACGAGACGCAGAGCCCCGACGTGCACTGAGCCGCCCGGGTGCAGAACGTGCCAGCCGCGCGCGGTGCTGCGCACACTGTGGGGTCGGGGCAGACAAAGCCGGTAGGCACTGCAGTTGCTAGGTTCGGGTCGCAGGTCGACTTGACAAACGGCGCCGAGCCTGGCAGCACAGCCGTGGCCGCCAGCGGGCCGGCGCACTCGGTGATGCATGCCGCCGGCCCACAGGTGACCGAGCTCCCGCGGCAGGCTGCCACACCTGAGCACTGCATCGCGCACCCGCCTTCGGTGGTTGGGCAGGTGACTTGCAGATCAGAGCAGGCGTACGGCGCCGAGCACGCGATCGAGCACGCGCCTGAATCTGGGCAGACAACCGTCGCGTTGGAGCATGCGCCGTCCATACCCGAGCACACCACCCGGCAGTCGCGGCCGTCTGGACACGTGATCGTCGAGTTGGCACATGCGCCCAGGCTTGTGCACGAGATGACGCACACCCCATCGGGGCAGCCAGAGCAATGCGGGGGGCAGCTTCCGGTGCCGCACACGGCCGAGTCGCAGGTCGGTTCGAGGACAGCAGGCACACACGCTGTGGCAAACGGCGTCGAGCCTGTCGGGCAGCCAGTGCACTTGGCCAGATGATCCGGCGCGTCGCTATCGGTGGCACACGTGCCCAGACCATCGCCACACACCACCCCGCGGCACACGTCTGCCGCCGCCGCCAATGTGGGCGTGGAAGGCGCCGGGAAGGTTCCACTTGCCACGACGACGGCGACGAGTGCAATGGCGACAGCCTTCCACCACCGCACCAAACCTCGTCTTCGAACCCTTTGCATCACCTCCAGGAAGGTGCTCTGGTGGAGGACGAGTGTGGCGTTGAAGATGGTGAGGAAGCGGCTGCCGCGCAACGGTGGTGGGCCTTTGGTCCTGCTGCCTCGGCAGTGCGCACTGTGACTGATGCGCGCACGAGCAAATTGCAACGAATGATGATGGTACGGGACGAATGGCGGTGGCAACGAACAAATGGCTGCCATTCCAAAAATTGTAATCGGATTCGAGTCGGCGAGCAAGCAACTGGTGGCCTGTTCCCCTTGCTCGGTTGAACGACCAACCAACTCCAATATTCACAATGGCTGTCGACGCTGCTACCGCTTGGTACGTTGGAAGTTTGCCTTGCGCTGCTGCGGGCGCTGCGGGGTTGTGTGTTTTGGGCGGGAGTAGAAGGGGTAGAGAGTTTCAGTAGAGGTTGTAGAGCAGGGGCATGCTACCGGCACTAGTGGTGGGGTGCTAAAGGAGGATGAGATGGCGGAGCAGGCGCTGTAGTAGGGGTGCGTGCGTTGCCGCGAGCCTGTGGCTATGAAAAAAAGGTGGTTTATTCGAAGAGCGACCAGCGGGAGAGGCACTCACAGAATGCGGGCGTGGTTCTGTTGGGGGACAGGGATGAGGTCTGTGACCAGGCCAACGACCGCAACTGGTAAGTATTATGTGTGAGGAAAGAAAGAGCATGTGGGCGTGAGAGCGTGCGTCGTTGCCGGAGCCGACTCGCTCCCTCCTCCCCCCCCCCCCCTCCTGTGGTTGCGGGGATGTCTCGCCTGCTCGGTTTCTTGAGAAACGGCGGTGACACGCCGACAGGCTCGCGGCCTGGCGGCGGCGGGACGAGCGGCGAGGCATGGTGGCGAATTTTTCCTGCACGACGACGGCATGCGCAGCGGGAGGCCGAGGTGGCGGGCGACTCACAAGAATGTTTGCGGGTACAGGGTCATCGTTAACACCGACCTGGAGGTTGTCAGCACTGGCAACGGTGGCCTCGAGGAGATGAAGGCTGCCTTTGACGACTCGGAGGTCCAGTTTGCCGGCTTTGTGGTCTACGGCATCGACGACCGCGGCTCGACCGTGTCGAAGCGCACCAAGACGGTGTTCTGCGTGTGGATCGGTTCGGGCGTCGGCGCGCTTGCCCGCGGCCGCGCTCTCCGCTGCAAGGACGAGGCTGCCAACCTGTTCAACGGCCACAACCTCTCGATCGACGTTGACGACACCGACGACCTGACCCAGAAGGCCATCGCCGACCGCCTCCTCAAGGCCGGTGGCGCCCACAAGCCGACCGCCTACGACTTTGGCCCCGAGCAGGTTATGGAGCTCTAGGCATTGTGTAGCCCCATCCTTCCGCAGTGAATCATGTCCTGCCATTGTTGTGCTGTGCTGCCAGCAGCCCCCCCCCCCTGTGGCCTTCCTCGGCCTTTAAGCCAGCTACGCCAATGAGTCGCTTTACCTCCGTCACACAGCTACAGATGCTACGACACCATGTTTGACGGCTCCTTGAGGCAGTACAGCGGGATCTCATACTTGTAACCGAGGCGGTCGTACGACTCGGTGAGAACGCCCGACGGGACGGTGATGGCGGCGGCGAGGAGGATGTCGTTGGCCGCGGATCGCGATGGCGCCTCCACTGCCGACTTGAGTGCTGCCCAGCACTCCTCATTGCCACCATAGTACGGCGCCGTGTCCCAAAACTCCTCGCGCTTACGTGCCAGATCGTCCTTGGTCATAGGCTCGTCCGACTTCCATTTGGGGACGACACCTGTGAGCGGGCCCGACGAGCCAGCCGCCGACGATTGTGAGCAGCCCATAGTCCAGACAAGGTCTTGCTCTTTTGACTTTCCTGGTTCTTTGCGACTTTGCCTTGCCCTGCCTTGCCCTGCCTTGCCTTGCCTTGCCTCACCAGCAAACGTTACGCTTCTTCCTGGTCCTATCGCTCGTCGTATGGTGCAGAACACAGACGCGGCGACCTGTTGTCCAGCACGCCTACTACCAATCCACCGGCACCTACCAACACCAAAGAGTGTCGTCCACAAGTACCCACTCGTCTAACGTCCACCGTCAGAGAGATGTACGACCTGTGTCTTTCCTCCCCCCTCCCCCCTCGCCGCTAGCCTTCCCCCCCCCCCCCGTTCGGACTCGGCTGATTTGACGAACGCAGCGCGTGTCGCCACCCGACTCGCCGACTCGCCGACTCGCCGACTCGCCGACTCACCGACTTGCCGACTTGCTCGCTCGGACTAGTCGCGAAAAACACGACCTTTTTTAGGGCGAGAGCTGAGGCAGAGGCCACCGTCACCGCCACTCTCTCCACTTGTCGCTGCACTCCCTTGCGACAACCGCCATGATGGCTGTCACAAGCAGCGTTGCCATGGCTGTCACCACTGTCACCTCTGTTCCGCAGTCTCCATCGCCGTCACCGACGTCGTCGTCGTCGTTCTCGCCGTCTCTCTCGCCTCTCCGTAGAGCCGAGGGCGAGGGCGAGGACGAGGGCGAGGGCGAGGGCGAAGCTGAGCTCTCGAGCTCGCTCCCGACCCTGCCGTCGCTCTCGCCACCATCGCTCTCGCACCCGTCACCGACCTCGCCTCCGTCAACCTCAAAGCTTGTGGCCAAATCGTACCTGTCGGCGGGGACCTCGCCGCGTCGCGCGTCACGAAGGGAGGCTCTGCTCAACTTTGTCCCGTCGTCGCCGTCGCGCGAGACTGTCATCTCTTCGCCGCACAAGCTGTCTGCTGCTGCAGCCGCGGCTGCACACTCACAGGCGAGGGCACGGCCACGGCAGAAAAGATCGGGGCCGAACTCTCCGCAGCGAATCCGCGTCGCACCGGACGACATGGTGTGCGCGGCGCTCGGCGCGAGGTCACAGGTGTGCTCGGTCGGCGACGTGCCCGTGTGGATGCATCTTGCGCCGCGGATCCACGGGCGAGTGCTCGCGGTGTTTGACGGCTCGGCCGAGGTTCAGCTCTTTGCCACGCCTCAGCAGACGCACTGGGGCGCGGCGCTGCCGTGCCACGGCAAGGGCGAGCTGCTGCGGACCCGGCTGGTGCTCGTTGTCCCGCTCGCGTCACTCGAGGCCCACATCTCGATTGAGCCGCTGCGGGCGTTCCAGACGCGGTTTGCCCATGGTGCGTACAGCTACGACCCGGATCGCAACTTTTACTTTACATCCGACTACGATGCGCACGGCCGCGCGCTGGTCCCGCTCGGGCCGAGCGAGCTGGAGCACACGCTCACCACTCCGCGTCGCATCGCGGCCGCCTCGACCGCCAGCCGGGCGGCGGCCGTTCCGGGCGTCTCGCCAGGCAAGCGTCGTCGCATCGTCGACTCGGATTCGGAGTCCGAGTCTGGCGGCGACGACGACGACGACTTTGAGGCGGCGCCGATGAACATCCCGGTGCCGCCGGCGCGAAGCCGGCCACGGGTCCGAGCCGAGCGGCGGGCCGAGCCGGTTGGGGGGCGGAGTCGCGGCGGCGGGCCCATTCGCAAACGGGCGCGGCGGTCGCTGGTCTCGACCTGGCGCGAGTCAGCCAACAAAATCCAGACCGAGGCGCGCAAGTCCGGCCGGCGGCACGGCGGGCCGCGGTCGAGCGCCTCGCTCCGTCAGCGGCCGACTGCCGAGTGGCTCGAGGGCATGGCCGCGTACCTCGCGGCGTCGTCGATGAAGCACGAGCAGCAGGTGCGGAGCGGGGCAAGTCTGCGGGTGCGCCCCACCGGCGGTGCCAGGGCATCCGAGGTGCTGGCTTCCGACGACTCGCTGCACGACTTTGTGGTCGACGACCTGGGGTCCGGCACGGACGAGGTGGCCGGCGGGCGGGTGCATGGGGCGGGCGGGGCGGTCAAGTTCCCGCCGATGGCGCCGGGCCGCAGGCTGACCAACGCGTGCCCGCTCCTCCGCGAGTTTGGCGACTTTGTCCACTTTGTGGCGGCGTGTTTTGTCGACGCGTCGTTCTGTGAGTCGGTCGCCGCCGAGGACGCTGCCGCCGGCGCACCGTCGTTCCTCCTTGCCGCTGCGCGCAAGCTCCGCAACGCGCTCGACGTTCGCAAAGACTCGCTCGTCCGGTCCAACTCATGGCGGATCCGGTTTTCAGACGCGCTCGAGGCGCACCCGCAGCTCGAGGGCATCGACCTGTCGACGCCGCTGACCCATCCGCACAATGCAGTCCCGCCATCCTCGTCCGAGTCGGACGACGAGGCGGCTGCACTCGAGTCTGGGTGCGAGGCGTGCGGCGTGTCGACCCATACTGCACGGCACGCGGTCCTCCTCGGCTCCACCCACGCTCGCTACGACGCCAGCGAGTGGTGGATCCGGCCGTGGTCGCACCCCAATGCCCGCGGCATCGCCGTTGCACTCGCGGGCAACAGCACGTGGATAGGAAGCATGTCCAGCAGCGAGGCTCGGCCCGGCACCCGCTTCGAGCTTGGCTCACTCTGCTTCCGCCGCGCGCTCCTCTTTCACAGGCTGCACCACTTTGCCTTCAAGCTTGCGCTCCGCGTCCGCCGCAAGATCCTCACCCTCGCCGACGAGCTCAGCGTCGTCCTCGACTCGACGTCCGAGACACAAGAGACCATCCAGACTCGGGCACTCCTAGTCAAGTCGCTCCTGCACTCGTCCGAGTGGTTTGCCGCCGAGCACCAGGAGCTCACCACCACCATCGACGCTGCCGACGCACTCCGCACCCGTTAGTGGGCGTGGGCACACAATGCCTCGTGACTCTCGCGCTCGGTAAGAAGAACAACAGCATCGCAGCCCGCTGGATCGCGCTCGTACAGCTCGCCGCGCGCCGCGACTTCTGCTGGTGGCAGAGGCCGGAGGCCGTACTTGCATGCGATCCGCAGCGAGCCGACCAGTTCGCGGACCATGTGGTTCGGTGCGAGGTCCTGGGTCGATAGCGGCGTGCGATCGAGCGGACAGGCCGAATGGAGGTCAACAACACGGGTAAAGCACGCTTGACACGCGCTGTGGCCGCAAGGTGCAACTACGGCGCGTACGACAACGTCGAGGCAGATCGGACAAGCCAGTGCGTCCGGCGCCTCGTCGACAAACACCCGCGGCTCGTCGTCGCCGTCAGCGGCAGCGGCGAGATCCGACCAGAGTAGCTGCATGCCGTCCGCGCCGAGTCGCGGTGCGGCGCGGACGGCGCCGGCCTCTAACATGTAGTAGTGATGGTTGCAGTCGGGATCAGAGAGGCACTCGGCGCAGGCGGCAACGACATGGTAGCCGACAACCGTGTCTGTGCCTGCGGCAGCGCACGCGCCACAGGCGACATCGCGGATGACGCAACTGCAGTGCGGCGCTTCTCGCGGCTCGCCGGTCTCAACCACATGTGGGGTGACCAGATCGGTCGAGTACAGCTCGTCACCGGTGGCAATGAGGTTGACGACGACGCCGCGGTGGCAGAGATGCAGCTGGCACGCCGCGCACTCGAGGACAACCACCGGCGGATCGGCCCCAGCATCGCCACGGATCGCCGCCTCGTTGGCCACCACCATTTCTGTCATCGCCTCAAACATTGCTGCCAGATCGTCGTCAATCTCGCCAAACTCCATCCCGCTCTCGACCAGTGCCGTCAGCGCTTCGGGCATCATGCACATGGCCTCTGTCTCGTCGTCGTCGTCGTCGTCGTCGTGGTCACCAATATCACCAGCGTGTGCCTCGAGAGCAGCCCACACCGCCGCCAGTGTTTCGCCGGAAAGAACCAGGGGTTGCGCTTCTGCCTCATTTCCTGTGGCTGTGTCTGGCACGTCGTCGTGATTGGACATGCGGGGAGGAGGTGAGGAGGAGGGGAGAGGAGTGCCGGAAGGGGGGGGGGGGGAAGGGGGGGATGGGTGCGGATAGAGTGTGTGATCGGGTGGTACACGCGCAGCTGTACGGACTACAATGTGTGTCCTGTGGTGATCGTGTGGCGATGGGGTTGTTTGTGGGGTATCAGTGATGGCAGATGGGCAGGCAGGCAGGCAGGCAGGCAGGCAGCCGGATGCCATCGACTCCATCCATCCATCCATCCCGGGCTGTCAGCTCACGAGGGACATAGGTGAGGAGGGGAAGACGCAGGGATAGAGTCACACACTGAACTTGAACTTGGAAGAGGGAGTGGACAATGACAGACGAGGAGCAACGGAAGAGAAAGCATGAGGGCGATGAGGGCGATGAGGTGGCTGTGAAGAAGAGCAAGCTGTTGAAGGACAAGAGCAAGAAGAGCAAGAGCAAGAGCAAGAGCAAAGACAAGAGCAAGAGCAAGGACAAGGGCAAGGGCAAGGGCAAGGAAAAGGACAAAGACAAGAAGAGCAAGAGCAAGAGCAAGAGCAAGAGCAAGAGCAAGGACAAGAGCACCAAATCCAAGTCCAAGTCCAAGTCCAAGTCCAAGTCCAAGTCCAAGTCCAAGGCCAAGTCCAAGGACAAGGACAAGTCCAAGGCCAAGTCCAAGTCCAAGGCCAAGGCCAAGGCCAAGTCCAAGTCCAAGTCCAAGTCCAAGGCTGCCTCCGGATCAGACTCGGGATCGGGATCGGACTCGTCTGCCGCCTCGGCCTCGGCCTCATCTTCCTCCTCTTCGTCGTCCTCCTCCATCTCGCCCGAGGAGCGCGCCGCGCGTAAGAAGCTGCGGAAGCAGCAGCGGAACAAGATCATCCGGGGTGCTGCCGACGATGACGAGATCAACGCCTTGCGTCCGTCCGGAACAAACGGAAACATCATGGCGCTCAAGTACCTGTGGGACTTTGTTTATGATCGCTCTTCGTGGCGCTTCCAGAAGGTCCGTCAGACGTACCTGCTCAAGTCGATGTACTCGGAGCAGCGCCTCTCGTCGACCCACTTTTCGTGGCTGCTCAAGTACCTCAGCGGCCTCAAGGGCAACGCCCGCGCCGTCACCCTGCAGCAGGCCCGCGACATCGTCCGCGCCGTTGACGATCCGAACTCGGGCTTTCCCATCCCCGAGCCGCCCGCCCCGACAGAGGCCGAGCTCGCCGCAGAGCTCGCCGCCAACACCGCAGCCAACGCCGCGGCTGCTGACGCCGACGCCGACGCCGACGCCGACGCCGACGCCGACGCCGACGCCGACGCCGACGCCGACGCCGACGCCGACGCCGACTCCAACGCTGATGCCGACACCAAGCAGGTCGACACCGCTGCCGCCGCCGCTGCGGAAGTCGAAGACGTCGATCCCAACGCAGTTCCCCCGCTTGACGTCACCGCCGTCCCGGACCCGACTCTCACCGCGGACTCGACCAAGTACATGCGCGCTGCGGCCATCGTCGCCCTCCTCATCGACGAGTGAGCAACGCCTGTTTACCTCGCGCGCACTACAGCGCCTTCAGTGCCTCGTACAGCTCATTGAAGACTGCCTCGAGTGCAGCCGGGCCTTCACTCTCGATGCCCCTGCGAATAGAGGCGTCAATGCTCTTCGGCTTGTCGCCGCGCTTCTTGACCTTGACGCTCATGGCGTCCTTGATGTCGTCGGCATCGCGCGAGTGCTCCGCCACCTCCGCCAACTTGAGCGTACCTGTCACAACCCCGTTACAGCCTCATCGTCCTCTACGCCTGGCACCGCCGCCGCCGCCGCATCCGCATCCGCATACCACGCCCACTTGAGCGTGACATCCAGCTCAAATCCCGGCCGCTTCTTCTGCCGGACAAAGACCACCGATGCGTCGCCGGTCACCGACTCCACCCCGCACACCCGGCACTGCGGATGGAGCTCAATCCCGAGCATCCGGACCTCCAGAAAGTCGCGCGTATGGCTCAACACAGACTTTTCCTCCCTATAATCCACCCCCCGCCATCCCCAATCCCAACACTCCCTGATGTGAGTCCCCCCCCCCCTGCCCCCTTGACATCCAGCCCGGCTGGCCAGCTGCCCAATGTGGCTCTGTCCCCGATCCCGATCTTCACGAAGCCAGCGGCAGGCTCCAGAGGACGGGCGGGGCGGCGAGGCACCGACATGGTTGCGAGCGTCCTTGACAGAGAAGTCATACTTCTAGCTTCAAGTAGACTAGGTTACTAGCAACACTTATGTGGTATAACACTACGGTATGGCTCACGTACCAAGTCCCGCCGGTGTTCCAGGCCGACGCGCCCGGTACGACGCTCACCTGGGCCTCAGCCTCGGAGGCGATTTGCTCCGGAAGCCGCTGCGAGTCCGGCACGTTCCGCGCCCAGTACCGGTACCCACCGGCGTTCTTCTTCTGCTCCTCCTCTGCTGCAGCCACAGCCGGATCCATGTCCATGATCGATGTCTGTCGGGTTGAGTGTGCCGTGCATCCGTCGTCTCCAGCCGCTGCCTCGTCGCTTATCTCGCCCGCCCCCCCACTCGTCCACTCGCCCACTCGCCCACTTGCCCGCCCACGATCACCACACCCACCACCCATGGAGACTAGAATGCGGGGGCCTTTTACTCAATCTCCATCTTCTGCACATCCTTGCCCTTGCCCTTGGACTGGGCCTTTCCCTTTCCCTTTCCCTTGGCAGCCTTTGCTGTCGTCGCCTTTGCCTTGGCCGCCGCCGACGACGACGCCGACGCCGACGACGCCGCGCCCTCAGTGGGCACAACATGCTCGCCGTGGCGTGAGGCATCAAAGACCTCGACGCCGACCGAGGTGCGGTACATTGAGCGGGACTCGGCATGGGCGAGGACGTCCGACGCCGCAGAGGAGATCGCGAGCTTGGCTCCTCCGGGGCTGAGGCCAAACAGGACGCCGAGGTTGGTGACATCGTATGGCGAGCGAAGTGCGAGCGCTTCGCGGGCACCCGACGTCAGTAGAATGTTCTTGCCGCGGGTGTACCGGACGAGCGAGAGGGCGTTCGACATGAGGTTGCGGACGGCGACCGGCGAGCCCGTGAGCAGCGGCGAGAACGAGAGCTCAAAGTGGATGCCGCGCGAGATGGCCTGTCCCACCGTGGGGAACTTGAGAAAGAACGCAAGGCGCTCAGCACCGTCGATCGAGATGATGTCGGTCTCAAGCGAGGCGCACGCTTGCTGGAACAGCTTCTCCGTCTTGGGCACCACCGCTACCAGGCCGTACGACGCCAGCACCGGCGACGTCGGCGTGATCGGATAGGCATCGCTCAGCTTCTCCAGGACCACCGTCAGCCGCGAGACTTGCACAAACCGTGCCACATCCCTCGCCAGTACCACATCGTTCCTCCCACCACGGACTACCCGAGCACATCCGGTTCCTGTCGGCAGATTGGCCGCGTACTCCTCATGGTCGCAAGCATGACTCTGCACCAGCCCCGTCCGCACCTCGGTATTCCACGCCATCCCATCGTATCCCACTACCAGCCCATCAAGCCATCCGCGCCCTCTGTGAGTGTGGTTGCATGCATGAGCCTGGACATGGGCTTACCCCCCTCCCCCTCCCCCCTCCCCCCTCCCCCCCTCCCCCCTCCCCCTCCCCCCCTCCCCCGCCCGCCCTCCCCACCCACACCTCGCTCACCCACCCACCCACCCCACCCCCCACCTCCCTTCGCATGTCCACACCATTTTCTCCTCGCAGGGTGGTGGTGGCAATACTGGTGACCTTGGTGACGGCGGCATCGTTGTCGCTTTGGGCTACGGCTCCCGACTCGGATCCTGCGGTGACCACACCACCACGCTCAGCACCGCCACCGCCGCCTCTCGATCAGCCGCTACCGCTGACGAGTTGGCGTGGTATGAGACAGCCGGATGACGTGCCGCTGTCATCTACGCTGAGAGTGCCGCCTGTATCGCCACTGGGTCTTGGCCTCGGCGTGGATGATCAATCACACCTTGCCCTGCGATGTCTGGCCGAGTCGATTGCTGTTGTCCTTGACCCTAGCGCGAGCTGCGGCTGTGCATCGCCGTTCCTCACGTCGGCTGCCGGCCGTATTGCGGCTCGTGTCCTGACACCACCAATGCCGTGGTCGCCGTTGGCGAGTCGCAACCGAACCGCGCCGCAGGTGACAAGCATCCATCTCTCGCTCTCGGTCAACGCGTCGTGCGGCTGTGAGCCGCCGATCGCGCTGGAACCCCCGAGCGGTTTGAGCTCTCTGCGCCGCGTGGCCCGCGCGACGGACCGATTGTCATTCGCGGCGACTCGGTCCTCGGCCTCCTCCGTGGGCTAAACGCGCTCGCGCTGAGCACTGCATGGGTGCCCGAGGTCGGGCGCCATTGCCTGGCGCTGCCGCAACTCCCGTTTGCACACGCCCCTCGTGCGCGATGGCGCGGCTTTATGCTCGACACGGCGCGGCACTTTGCCAATCTGCGCCAAGTCGAAAAGCTGCTCGATGCAATGGAGGTTGCCCACCTCAACGTCTTCTCGTGGCACATCACCGATGCCCCGTCGTGGCCACTCGAGCTGGCGTCATGGCCAGAGCTCTCACGAGCCGGAGCCTTTGCGCCGTCGGCCACCTACTCGCGCGAGGCTGTTGAGCATGTCATTGCCTATGCGCACGCCCGCGGCATTCGTGTGGTCCCATCCATTGATATGCCGGCGCACGTTGCTGCCATCGGTAAGGCCTTCCCAGAAGCCATTGTCCGTCCGTTCAAGTGGGAAAAGATCGACGAGTTTGGCCTCAACCTTACGTCACCGCTGGTGACGGCGCTGGTGACCGACGTCATCGACGAGGTTGCGAGCCTCTTTCCCGACACCTTTCTCCATCTAGGTGGCGACGAGGTCAAGCGGTCGGTGATGAGCCATGCCGAGTGGACGGCATTTGAAGACTCTGTGGTGGCGCGGGCGGTCGCTGCCGGCAAGCGGCCGATGTTGTGGCAGGATGCGTTGGACACCGGGGCGCTCTCGCGCGGAGCAATAGCCAACGCGTCGGCTGCTGGCGCCCGCGCAGTGGTCCAGTCGTGGAAGGCTTGGGCTCACCTCGGCAACGCCGCTGTCCGCAAGGCGCTCGCGGCGCAAGTTGATATTCTTGTCTCGCATGGCTGGTACCTCGACTTTGTCGAGACGACTATCGACGCCTACCGCAAGTCTGACGTGCTCGGCGAGGCATTCGAGCTAGCGCAGACCGCAGGCACGCTCACTGACGCGGTGCTCGGCGGCGAGATGGCGCTATGGACCGAGCGAGTCGATGCCACTAACTTTGTCTGCCGCGCCTGGCCGCGCGGCTTAGCCATTGCAGACCTGCTCTGGCGCGAGCCGGCAGGCAACGCCACTGTGGCGATGATGGCGGCGGCAGGAGGGCTGGTCGCGACTGGCCTACCTGATGCTGCGTGGGAGTCGCGGCGGGCGACCGGGACGCCCGGCCACCAATGCGGACGCATTCCAGTTGATCTGCAGCGGCGGCCGGGCCTGCCACATCCCGACGCATGGACTGTGGCTCAGCTCAACATCGATGCCGGCGGCGGCGATGAGTTGCAGCACCTCGAGACCTGGGTCCGCAACCACGAGCTCGACGTACTCGGCCTCTGCGAGCTCAACCAATGGGAGGCGAGTATGGGGACCAGAGCCGCCGAGATGGGCTTTCCGTTTTACCATATCATGCCCATTCCGTCGGGCTACCACCTCGGCATCATGGCAACGCGACCAATCAGTGTTGTCGCCGAGCTCCGGCAGCCCGGGAAGCCGTTTCAACGCGGCGCACTCCACGTCCGCATCGAAGGTATCCACTATGTCGTCGTCCACCTCCACGCTCATGACGCAGGCGCGCGGCTTGCCGAAGTCGAGGCCCTAACTACCCACCTCGCCGCCACACTTGCAGACACCGCGCCGCTGGTGGTCATGGGCGACTTCAACACACTCTCGCCCGACGATGACGACGGGTGCGAGTACAGCAGCAGTCTGGTGAGCACCATCCTGAGCCACAACTGGACCCGTCTCCGTCTCAAGTACCTCAATCCGGATCACACGGTGGCGTACGCACCGTACAACAAGCTTGCTCAGTTTGGTCTCCGCGACCTTGTTGTCCACCACTCGGCGTGCGAGTACACCGAGCCGACCGCATTTGGCATCGACCAGATCCCGCCAGCCGACACCACGCTTGCGCCACAAATGCGGGTTGACTACGTCGTTGCCCGCGGCCTCGACTCGTCGGCAGCATGCACCATTGTGCGGACAAACGTGACCAACGCGCTTTCGGACCACTTTCCCACCGTCTGCTCGCTGCCGCGCAGCATAAAATGACTCTACCTCGACTCGGCCGCAACCTCGGCCTCAATCTCGGCAAGCGCGATGCGGACTGGCGTGCTCGAGGCCTTCTGTGGGTTGCTGCCGCGTCTGCGGCTTGAACCGTCGACACCACGCGGCTGGACGTCGATCACCCGCGACGGCGCAAAGATCTGCATCCACTGCAGGGTGACGCGATCGAGGCCTGTGGGTGTGTACATAAGCATCCAAGCGCCGATGCCGAGCGCAGCAAGCGCAAGTCGCAGCCAGGCGGCGATCGAGTCCGCAATGAACCACCAGTCGCAGGCCAGGTCCTGGAACCAGACCTCGCCCGAGTCCACGACCATGGCCGGGCGGCCATAGGCGCAGTCGGCGTCAAGCACAACAGCATCGGCCCCGCCAGGCCCACCATCGCGCAGCAGTACACGATCGTCCTGCGCGTCGAGTCGGATCCGGCCCATGGCCATGGTGAGGCCCTTGCGCGCCGTGTACGACCACTCGAGATGAAGACCGCGGACGAGATCAGCACCGCCACTTCCGCCTCTCGCCTGCGGCCCCGTCTCATGGCCCCCATCCACACCATCGCCGCTGTCCCGAGTGCCCTTGCTTGCCGAGCAGCACTTTACGTCATCCACGCCCGGCAGCGCATCCAGAGTCGGAACCACATGGGTCTGGGCGTAGACCACCAGGTGTGAGACCGAGGCGTAGGCCGGCGGCTTCAGGCCGACCACCCCAGCGGCAGACAGTGCCGCCCCCAGACGGCTTCCCTTCACCTGTGACGCGGCCATTTCCCCCTACGATGAGAGAGAGAGAGAGAGAGTAGGGGATGAGTGTGTGTTGGGGGGGGGGGGCAGTGAGCGGCGTGGTGACCGAGTCGAGTCGGCAATCGTCGGGGTGTCAGTCAGGCTGCCCCTGCCTGCATGGCACTCCTGCCTGCCGGCTGCATTGCGCACAGCCATCCTGCTTAGCCTGCTTAGCCTAGCCAGGTATGATCACCTGACCCAAGTGCGTGATACGCATTCCATCATCCCCCCCC